CAGTTATCTTATCAGTCACTATTTACACTATATCTCCATGCACCACATATAAATATTCATTCTCTAACTATTATGTGTTTGCCATTGACCAAATATTAACAGCCAAGGTCACTCAGTCAAAATGAGCTTTCAAGAACCATCCAATAAATCAACTCAAACAAATTATTGACTGATAAATTATCCTTCTTTCTGGTGGTTGTGAGAACGGTAGAGAACGGTCTGCTGCTACCGTAAACTAGTGTAATAAATAAACAAGATGGCCAGTTGTCAAGGGGTAAAAATTACACCATTGAAAATGCAATTGGGTTTCAGAGACCTTCATACTTAAACTTTTTGCAGTAAGGAGAAACAGTATTTTATAGTTCAGACTTGAAGGTCACTTTTTTTTTTAACTGTAATTGAGAACTTAAGACTAATCACTGCTAACTGTCATAACCAAGTAAGAAAATATATCAATAATTAAATCTTGTATAAAGCAGTATAAATATATGTTTCATTTAACATGGTACAAGAGCTCTGTTTAGCTAATGAAATCATCTAGCATTGTAGCTAAAATTGAAACAAAAATATTTATTTAGTTGTTGATAAGTGGTGTCCATTATTCACATATTAGCACATTAAAGTATTCTATTTTAGAGATAAGGTTATAACCAAAGTACTCAAAATAGAACAGGTATACCAAATTGGCTACAATTTAGCAAATATTTGAATAATCTTTGATTATGATCAAATAATTTTGAGCAAATAATTTTGAATCATGATGACTAAAATACAAAAAGATATAGCTTAACGTTGATAAATCATATCACTTTGATCAAATATTTATAGCCAGGTGATGGTAAAAGACTTTTTTTTGCCTATTTTTTTGTTACATTTTGTTTTAGCTTTGCTTTGTTTTCTTAGTATGAGTACACCTCAAGTCTAGCCACATCTCTCTGACTGAAAGTGACAAGAGAGACTCAAGGAGTTTCATATCAAAAGAAACAAAATTCAGAAATAGCCATGAACCAAAGAAAAAGTTCTTCACCTATAGCAGAAGCAGTCCGATATAAGAGTAAGAAGCTGATATGCTCCTGGCTCATCCACCAGAGAAGCTTGTGTTTTAGGGAGAGGTTGATCTAGATTCAGTAGTGCCTGGCCTGCAGTGGAAATCTGCAGAGTGATTGCAGTTTTGCTTTCTCCCTGTACTGAAATGCTTTTAGATATAACTATTAAAGAAAGGATTATTAAACTGGCCTATTCTCAGAATATTTTCTTTACTGTCTTGCTTTAACTGAAACCTGTCTCTCCCCTACTGACATTCTTCCACTGCAACCCTCTCAGGTGGTGTTTCTTTCTTCTCCCCTGCGCTTTGTTCCACTAGCCCTAGAAGAACAATATGAATTATCTCAAGGTCATTGCTCATTCTTTGTAGATTTTAGGTCCTCGTTCAGTGACTTCATCTTACAAGAATGACTCCTGTCTTATCCTTGGCAATTTTAATAGCTACATATTCTGACCTCTCTTCTTAGCCTCTTTTCCTCTAATGATCACCTGCTACACTTCCATGGTCATACCCTAGCCTGGACACTGTCACTACCAATATCTGCACTCTTTGTATAATCACATTTTCAATAATCCCATTTGCTGGCCACCAGTGAATGAGTCTTTTTAGCTCACTTACTCTCAATCTTTGATCTTACCAAGAAATAAAGTCTATTGACCCTCCTTCCTTTGTGTTTACCCTCATTCCCTTCATATTCTCACTTTATGCCATACCCAGTTTAGATACTTTGGTCTATCACTATGAGCACCCCTTTGCAAACACTCTCAGTTTTCTTTGTCTTACCTAGTTCATTGCCCCTCTCCCAGCAACGCCCTAGCCCTTAAATCCAACTCTGCCTATTCTATGCCTGAATCCCCAGCTGAAGGCTGGAAAAATTCACAATTACATTTAATTATCTCATCTAAAACATTTATTTCTCCTGCGCTCTTAATGCTGCCCAAATACTTATCACATTTTCATAGTTCATTTACTCTCCCACCCTCCTAAACAACTATTTTATTGCTTTTTTAATCTAAAGAGACTTGCCAAGAGCTTCCACCACCACATTTACCCATCTTCCACATGCTCTGCTTTCCTTGACCTTTGTGAAGGATGGATGAACTATTGTCTTCATAAGGTAAAGTCCTCTACTCTTACGATGCCCCTACTCAAGAAAATAAGTCCAGCAATTCTTCCTTCATTCTCTGATCAATCTTGACTCTCCATTAAATCATTCTCATCAAAATAAAAATGCTAAACCTTCTCAACTCCATCCTTACCATGTACCATCACGTGCCCCGATTTTATGACTTCTATAAACCACTCTTTTTTGAACCCATCTAATCAGGCTTTTTCTTATACTGCTCCACTAAAACTGTTTTTGTGGAGAGGTTTGGAGGTCACCAATGACCTCCAAATTGCTAAATCCAGTAGTCAATTGTCAGTCCTCATTTTTCTTACCTATCGGCAGTATTTAACACAGTTGATTATTCCCTTCTCTTTGAAAGATTTCATTCACTTGGCTTCAAGATATCATATTCACATGGTTTTTCTCTGACTGTTTGGCCACCCCTTCTCTGATTCCACCTATTCACCCAATTTCTAAATGTAGGGGTGCCTCAGAAATCTTAGACCTTGTCTTTTCTTTCTACCCTCAATCCCTTAGAAATCTATCTGGGACACCTCCCAAATTTATATCCCCAGACCAGATCTCTCCTCTATACTATAGATACAACTACAGTCAGTTCTGCTGTAACACTTACTTTGAGAATGCAAATTTGTTCCAAAATGATTGATATTAGAGAACAATTTGAACATAATGTCAATTTAAAAACTGCTTTGACTTATTCCAATTTTATCCCACTATCTATGTATGTTTCTTAGGAGCAGGAATTTTAACTTTGTTTTATTTACTTAGCTGCTGAGATTTTTGTTTTTGTTTTTTTGGTTTTTTTGGTCATAGAACTATACCAGGCATACGGTGGATATTCAATAAATATTTGTTAAATGAATGAAGAAACAATTTCAGGAGATCCTATAAAGTCCATGGGGACTATATGTAAACTTTTTTTAATTTTCTGGAGAGAGAGATTACACTTTCTTTAGAGTTTGAAAGGGATCCCTAAGTACCCTCACATAAGATAGAGTAATAATATAATTCTAACAATGATCCATTAAGACTTTTATTGACCTTCAGAAGTAGGCTGCATTACTTAAAGTGCTCATAGGGTAATTATAATGTTAAAATGTTGTGTTTACTTATGAATTTTTAAAAATTAACCTGATTTTTAAAAAAAGAATAGAACTTGGCATTTAAAATGACAGTATTGCTAATACTTTTTTTGTTGTTGTTGCTGGCTTTATTTCTTTAATTAAACAAAAAAACTCATGTCTTTATTACAAATATACATTTATCATAGAAAATTTGGACTCATAAAAGCAACTTGCAAATCATTTATAATTCTATCATTCAATATTAGTATTTTGCAGTTTACTCTTTGTGACTCCTTTCTATGCAAGGCAGTTATTCCTTTATAGATGAACAAGTCTTTACGAATTATAAGTAATAATCTCCTCCTTTTTTTCTCTGAAAGTTTTAAGTATAATATGCAGTACCAACTGAATTTTCTAAAGTATAAAAATGAAAACTAAAGAAAAAGCAAAATAGTCTACAGAACAAATAAAATAGATGCTTAAAGGAAATCCTTGCAGAAAGGATAATGTTTATTATTCACAGCAACTTTTCAGCCCTTATTTATACGTTATAAATATATAAGCCCTTATAAAATATAAGATTTACATCTGTTCTTATTTTGTAAAGTGTCATATACTTGGTTACTCTGTTTCTATGCCCAAAACATTCTAGAAATAGCAAATTAGAAGTGGAAGACAGAGTGACTGACAACAGTGAGATAGAAGCTTGACAAACGTAGAAAAAATAGAGACCGACTTAAATATGCCAAAAGTAGAGTAATATGAGTCCATTTAGCATAGAGCAAATAGCCCTAAACAGGTCAGTTGCTCCCAAGGTCATGGTTTTACAGCCACTATAATAAAAGTCATAAGAATCACAGAGGGGAAAATAAATTGTGTTCTAGTATTCTCTAGGTTAAGCAATCCAGGTAGTCAAAATAAAAACAAAAAAGCATTAAACTTTCAGATACTAGAAATATTTGGCTCTTTAGAATGATCCATTTTCCAAGGATCACTGCTTAAGTACTATAGTAAAAATATCGGCATTTGTATGGAGAAGTACATGTCTACAAATGACTCATTACAGACCTGATAGTAAGATGTGTGACTTAAAGAGGAGGAGGAAGGTGCATTCTTGAATTACAATACTTCCCTTTGCATGTGGTTAATGCAGAAACCTAATTGAAAGATTTGTATGTAAATAAAGAGGACATGAAGGTAATTATTCGGGTCGTGTCAGAATTCTGCAGAAAGAATCCAAACATGAAGTTGTTGAAATAGAGACTACAGAAATAAAACCTTCGTTTCCTTATTGTCATTCCTAATGTAGGGATGAGCCAACACTTCAGTGAAATGGAATGGGGTCCCATACCTTAAAGAAACCAAGCCCAAAGAAGAAACTTCTGGGCCAATCTTGTTCGAACTGACTGAATGTTAGGTACAAGCATTAAAAAATAATAATAATAAATAAAAATCCCTAAACTACATTTTTCCATGTGGAACCTGTATATAAATAACAGAAGCTTGAAATTATAATCTCCTTGATAAAAGAAAGTAGGTGGAACATCCTTTAAAGTCTGATGCTCATCCATCAGTATACTTCATTCCTGTTGACATGGCAACTAAAGTTCTTCTCAGCCCTTCTCTTGATAATCCTCTATAGGAAGGGAAGAGCTGCATTGCCATAACTAGCAAGGTAGTAGATGATTTTATCCATTCCTTGTTGAAAATTAGTTGAATGATTTTTCATTTGCTAAAATTACTATAATTCAAGAAAAATTACCTTTAAGGTTGTTTTGAACTTCTAAAGCTATATCGAGAGCATTAAAGGGCAGAACTGGTTCGTTGGCAATTTGCAAAATCACTTCTCCTGAGAGCTGAAAGAAAAAGAAAAAAAAATGCTAGCATTCAGTATTAAGGGTTTCTATTTGTTTGTTTGTTTTTCATTATTTTATACATTCTTGTACATCCAGAGTAGCAAAAACACAGAGGGAAAAAATACTTTCATAAACATCTTTTCTTTTAAACCTCTTTTTTATTTTATATTTCTATTAAAAAAACCTTCAGTACCTTTTTGCTGTCTCGGAATAGTGTAAAGAAATATATTTTCTTCCTTTTTTTGAGCTAAAGTATTAAGAAATGGCTTCCCTAATTGAAGGAGTTGTAATATTTAAACTTTAAAACAATTACTTATAAAACAGTTCAGAATGTCACATGACAAAACAAATAGCAGAGAGGAACAACTGAAAATCCATATCTGGTTATTGGACTAAGTAAAATTCCAGACAAAAATTAATGATAAATTTATTTCATTTAAAATATAATTTAATCTAAAAAATTCCTTAAAATATTAGGTACTATTTTCCTTAACACTTTACTCTATTCCTTATTACTTTTCCAAAATTTATTAGTACTAATACCATTTGTACACCTTCGAGGTCAATGTTTAAATTAAATTTGATAAAATAAAACTTTAAATGGCATCCCCAAATGCATACCTGGAATTTTCACATTTGCCTATCCACCCACCATAGCACTCCAAAACTGTGTTTGAAAACCAACATATGCACTACAGCTGAATGAGCATCTGTTTAATAGACTGAATAAGTCCTATGTATTCATATACATCTCAAAGGAACTTAGGGCTGGCGGCAAATGCCATTATTACTCTCCCTCTCTCTCAAGTGATATTTAATATTTACTTGGGCTTAACAAATGTCCCTACATCTCTTACAACCCTGAAGCTGGCATACAGGGAAATGTGGCTGTGTTGATGTTATTAATGCATATGAAATGTTGTTAGTGAATGAAAATATTATCTCATGAAACTACACAAGGGAAATTAGCACACTAACTTGAGACAGTACAGAACACATAAAAGATATAACTTACCAGGAAAATGTGATGTTAAATATTCAAATCTACATATTCAAAAGGGTCAAATTCCATTTAATATTTAAAAGTTATATTTCCCAGTTGTTTCCACAATTTATATTATGATAAAATACAATTCAATTTGATCATCTTCTATATGCCTGGGGAAATACATTTCTTAGAAATAAAGAGTAAAAAGAAACCTATGATATCCTTTTATTTCTTTGAGATAGTTTTCTCCCAAATGTAGCAACCACTTCTTCCCTAATGCCAAAGGTATCTTTGCAGAGTTTTATCCCCAGCATAGTGATCACACAAATCCCGGGAAACTGCCTACTCTGATTATGCTGTAGTTCAGGAAAAAAGCATTAGCTGCAATAGGTTGATAGGAATCCTGTTTCTACTCCACTCCACCCCATCCAAATCATGCAAGGAACACCAATATTTGGAAATAAATTATTTATACAAAGGAATTTTTAAAGAAGGTTAAGAAGCATTAGGATTTCTTTTTCCAATTTGCACTGGATAATAGAAACTACAGAATAGGCATGTTTTGTTTACACTTTTTTAATCTGGAAACAACACATTACAAAAGATTAAAATGAAAGAGTGAGGAGGGAGGAAAAAGGAGACTTCTCTATGTGCTGCTGGAGAAAGTTGTTTTGTTTTGTTTTTCAAGACTCATTTGGCAGCCTGAACAACTGGAATATAAGCCAGCCACCTTGCTATTTCTTTCAAAAAGAACCTGGCAACAAATATCGGGACTTCTAAAGAACCTGGTCCATGATAGAATGCTTAGACTAAATTGGCTTTATTTGCAGCTTCATAAGCAAGAAAGAGATTTGTATATGCCTTGCATGTAATGAGAAGAGATGAGCCAAACTGTATACTCTTCTTGTCCAGTCTGGAATTCATTCTTATTCAGGCATGCCAAACCAACCGTCCTTTATATTTATATAAGGCCCCACTCTTTTCAAAGTGCTTTACACCTACATATCTCATTTCATTATCGTGACAAGCTTAGAGGCAGATGGTGGGGAAATTAATCCTGTGTTAAAAACATTGAGTATAAGCCTTATTGGGTTCCAGTCCAAGATGGCGCTCTTGAACTCACCTCCTCCCACGTGCACACTGAATCTACAGCTACACATGGAACAATTCCCTCTGAAAAATTCCAGAAACTAGCTGAGTGATTCCTACACATCAGGAAAATGAGAAAAAATCCACATCAAAATGGGTAAGAAAGGCTGAGACATATCTGCCATAAACCCCACCCCATCACAGTGACATACAATTATGAGGGAACTCACAACTGTCAGCTTCTCTCTGAGGAAAAAGTGTTTGGATCCAACCTCTAGTGCCCTAACTTTTAAGACTTTCACCTGAGGGATGGGCCTCCAAAACACCTAGTCCTGAAAGCCAACACAATATAGCAAAGAAAGAAAGAATTCTTAATGGCCTTGTGAAGACTTATTGTGGCTCTTCCCCCAGGGCTCAGTGCAGAAGCAGCAGGCAAAAAATGCCCATCTCCCAGTCTTTCCCTGAAAGAGGCCTATTTCCATATCTTAAAAGCTGCAGCCTGAGGGGCAGACTTCTAATTTAACACACATCTAGAGGCCAACTGCAACTCTCTCCAGAAACCAGGGAGGCAGGCAGGTGCCATCTTCACATTCTTCCTTTGCCTTGCTCCCAATCACCAGTGTCTCTCTGAAAAGAGCTTGTGCATACATCTGGCACTCTGGCTTTTGCAGCTGCCACCCATTGGATGCATCCTTGATCACCTGGCTCTGGTGGCCAACAGGGCTTGCTTTCATGGGTCTCACAGGACTGTAGAGACCCATGAAATAAAGAAAAAATTCTTAACTGGCTATCCCTCCAGGGCTCAGCACAGAGGGAGTAAGCAGAAATGCCCATCTCCTAGTGTTTCCCTGAAAGAGGTTTATTTGCTTACTTCAGAAGTATGGCTTCCAATTAGCCTGTATCTAGGTGCTGACTGGAAACCTCTCCTTTGGGACACTGACAGGTCTTGGCACACATTCAACTACTGGGAGCCACTAAGAACAAAGAAGGAGGCTTGGACAGTCAAAAAGGTTTGAGAGACAACCACGAGCTAGGGCCGGGCTGAATGACAAGGTTCATCTCCAACATGAGACCATTCCATCAAGACTGGGAGAGAGGGCTGTTTACCTAATGCACAGAAACAAACACAGAGAGCCAAGCAAAATGAGGAGACAAAGGAATATGTTTCAAACAAAAGAACAAGATAAAACTCCAGAAACAGCCTTAATGAAATACAGATAAGTGATTTACCTAATAAAAAGTTCAAAATAATGGTCATAAATTTGCTTGCCAAAGTCAGGAGAACAATGCATGAACAAGGTGAGAATTTCAATAAAGAGAGAGAAAATATAAGAAAGTACCAAACAGGAATCACAGAGCTGAAGAATACAATAACTGAACTGAAAAACTCAATACAAGGATTCAATATCAGACTAGATCAAGCACAAGAAAAGATCAGTGAACTCAAAGACAGGGCATTAGAATTTATCCAATCAGAAGAGTAAAAAGAAAAAAGAATGAAGATAGCTTAAAGGACCTATGGGACATAAGCAAATGGATCAATATTCATATTACAGGGGTCCCAGAGAAGAAGAGAGAAAGGGGAAGAAAGCTTATTCAAAGAAAAATGTCTGAAAATTTCCCTAACCTAGGGAAAGAAATAGACATTCAGATCCGGGAATCCTAGAAAATTCCGAATAAAATGAATCCAAAGAGACCTACACCGAGACATATTATAATTAAACTGTCAAAAGTTAAAGACAAGGAGAGAATCTTAAAAGCAGCAAGAGAAAAACAACTTGTTATGTAGACTACCATCAGATTTTGCAGCAGAAACTTTGTATGCCATGAAAGACTGGGATGATATATTCGAAGTATTGAAAGAAAAAAATTGCCAACCAAGAATACTCTACTAATGTGGCTCTTCAGAACCAAAAGGGAGATAAAGAGTTTTCTAGACAAGCTAAAGATGAAGTTCATCAACAGTAGACCAGGCTTACAAGAAATGTTAAAGAGAGTTCTTCAAGCTGAAATGAAAGAACACTAATTCGTAACAAGAAAATACACGAAAGTATCAATTTCACTGGTAAGGGTAAATATATAGTTAAATTCATAATATTCTAATGTTTAATGGTGGTGGGTAAATCACTTATAAATCTGGTATAAAGGTTAACAGACAAAAGTATTAAAAATAACTATAAATATAGTAATTTTTAGTGGATAAAAAATGTAAAATGATGTAAATTGTGACATCAAATACATAAAACATGTGGGGAGTGGGAGAATAAAAATATAGAGCTTTAGTGTGCTTTCAAACTTAAGTTGTTATCAGCTTAAAATAGACTGTTACATACATAAAATGTTTTATATAAGCCTCATGGTACCCACAAAGTAAAAACCTGTAATAGATATACGAAAGATAAAGAGAAAGGAATCAAACCATACCATTACAGGAGATCATCAAATCACAAAGGAAGAGAACAAGATAAGAAAAAAGGAACAAAGGAATTACAAAACAGCCATAAAATGATTAACAAAAAGCAAAAGTAAGTCCATTCCTATCAATAATTACTTTAAATGTAAATGAACTAAATTCTCTAATGAAAAGACATAGAGTGGCTGAATGGATAAAAACACAAGACCCAACTATATCCTGCCTACAAGAGACTCAATTTAGCTTTAAGGACACACACAGACTGAAAGTAAAGAAATGAAAAAAGATATTTCGTGTAAATAGAAACCCAACGAATACTATACTTATTTAAGACAAAAAGTGTAATAAGAGACAAAGAAGGTTGTTATATAATGACAAAGGGGTCGATCCAACAAGAGGATGTAACATTTGTAAATATTTATGCACCCAACACAAGAGCATCTAAATATATATAAAGCAAATATTAACAGACCTGAAGGGAGAAATAGACAGCAATACAATAATAGTAGG